AGAGAACTTCCATACTAATATTTTTATATCAGAGTCCTTTTTATGATTTAAAAAAATAATTTTAAGCTCACATATAAATAAAATACATTATTTTCAAGTACATCATTTTCACCTCAACTCAATGTAAAGAACTACTGTGTTTTTCTTTTATTTCCTATTAAATGTTTCTGCTCACCAGAGTAGTTTGGGGGGAAACTAACTGAGGCAGGAATAAGGGAGTGAAGGAAGACATTTATAAATTTTCTTTTCAAAACTGGGGAGGGGAAAAGTACAGAAATAGAAAAACTGTGGATGGCCAATATAAATTAAATCATTCTGGGATTATCTGCTTTATCTTATAGAATATCCCATTATCAAAACCCAGAAAATATTCAAAGAAATGTTTGGACATCAGGTTCAAGTTTAACAAATGTAATCAAACATGCAGAGCCAGATAATTGAAAATGAAGATTAATTTTTAAACAGGCAATCAAAATAACATTGTAATGTAGGCATTATAATATAGGCAAGTAACATACGCATGAGAGCAGCTGGGAAATCTGATTTAATTTCTGGAAGCCAGGAGAGCTGCCTGATTCAGTGATCTGGCCAAGGCACAGAATTATATAACCAAAGAAATCACACCAGAACAGTTCACCTTCCTATATCAACTTTCCATTATTCTTTTCTACCCATCAGACCACAAACCCAATTATCAGACCCAATAATTACCAAATAAATAGACCAAAGTGTTCAAGAGATTGATATGAGCTAATGCAGACAATTAGAGCAAAGACAATGATCTTTAAAAGTAACAGAAACCTCCTTGGCCTGGTTCTCAGAAAACACAATCTAAAAAAGAGAATTTATGGAAACATATGCACAGCCAGAAAAAAATTAAAATTTTTTTTTAACAAATCACATTTATCTCTAATAATATTTTAAAGCAGGATATATACATGTTCATGGCAATCTAGCAACTGTATTTACTCAATGAATCTAAGAAAACAGCTTAAGAATAATTATTGAACAGAAAAGTTTCAATCTACTCTGAAATTCCTTTTACATTTTATAATTATTTTAATGTTGGTAAAACCCGATAGCTTTTTTCTTTTGTTAATCCTCACCCGAGAATATTTTTTCCATTAATTAAAAAAAATACTTTTAGTGATTTCAGAGAAGAAGGGAGAGGGAGAGATAGAAACATCAATGAGAGAAAATCATTAATTGGCTGCCTCCTGCACATCCTACATTAGGAATCAAGTCTGAACTGTGACCTCCTGGTTCATAGATGGACGCTTAACCGCTGCTGCAAACTGGCAAGGGCCCCGATAGCTTTTTAATTGGCTATATGGGCCAGTATTATCACTGCGTGGTTTATTCATAGTTTAGGCTAACTAGCTAAATTCATATTTAAGAGAACAAAAACCACATTTTATATGTCAGTTTTTTTCTGTACGTAAATTTGAGGTGCTTATATTGGTGCTTTAGGAGAATTTTTAAATAAAGCTTACATGTAAGCTTTCTTTCACTTTTATTATCGGTAATACAATTTTCCTCCTTTAAAATTACTTAAAATCATGAATGGGAAACAAAGTTAGTAACATATCTGAATCCTATCAATTTAAGAATAAATTGCATTAACAGTACGGGTTAATCTAGTAAATATAGTTCATGGGGAAAAAAAAGTAAGCCCAGATAATGATTATAAAATGGTCAAGAAACAACCATATTAGAGACAGGTGGAATTTGAGACTACCTAATCTAATGGCCTTGTTTCTTTCATTTACAAATGAGAAAACCAAGGTTCTAAGAGGTAAAACTCCAAAGTTACACAGTTTATTTAGAAGAGAGACAAACCTAAAAATCAAGTCGCCTGACTCAAAATTCAGTGGTACTCAAAAATAACATGCCTTTTTACTAAGCATTTAAAAAAACTGCCAATTTGGAAAACAAATTATTTAACTCTATCTAGTTTTATTCTAAGCAAGTACAACACAAAAAAATAGTTGCAAGTTAGTAATATAAACAAGCTGACTTATATAACAAAAACCCCAGGTCAAGTAAAAATAATAATGTAGTTCACCCTATTGCAGGAAATATGATAAAATAAAAAGCTTGAAAAGGGGGCGGGGGGGGGGGGGGTCTCGGCCCATCCTCCGTGCCCCTGCCCAGCCCCTCCTTCCGCAGCCCTGCTCCTGCCGCCACCGCTCCCATGCGCTGACGGCACCAGCTCCAGTTGCTCTGCACCATCAGCGGGCGCAAGTGGCAGCTGCTGCTCCAATCACCCCTCAGGAGCAGGGGGAGGTGGAGAAGCCCTCAGGTGTGATCGGGGCCAGCAGCCGCCGCTTGCACCTGCTGACAGCGCTGAGCGATCGGAGCTGGCACTGGGCACCAGCAGCAGGTGCGAGCAGTGGCTCTGGTGCTGGCAGCAGGTGCAAGCACCTGGCGGGACCATGGCACACGGGAGCAAAGAATTTTCAGTAACTACCAGAGGCTCGCCCCAATGACAGTGACCGGTGCCCCGCCTTGGTCTGGCACCCCTGCTCATCTGCTCCACCATCCTGCCTCGGCCAATGCCTGCCATGTTCCATGCTCTGCTGCCTGCTGCTGACACCCGCCATGTTCTACCCGCGCCCCCTGGTGTTCAGCACATGTCATAGCGACCAGTTTTTCAGTTGTTCGGTTGTTCCACTGTTTGGTCTATTTGCATATTAGGGTTTTATATATAGAGATGTTACTAGTGAATGGTAATTACCAAAATTATGGAACTCTGAGTTCTCAAAATCTAAATTACAATATAAAAAAAAACCTTTTTGTATTAAGTTAAACTGGTGACAGTGGCCAATAAAATAGGAATAAATTATGAGCAATGTTATCATACCTTGAAAAATGTCCAAGAAAGGACACAATAAATTTTCTGAGATAGGTGATTCTTTAAAAAAAATAATAATCTGAAGAAACTTATCCTTCAATGCGTTTAAATAGATTGAACTACTCTTAAAGGAAGTAATGTACTGGTATAGTACCTGGCTAAAACATAAGTGAAACTTTCTTTTATCTTTACAGCAAAAAATTTTTACTAATTAGAGAAATCGGAGAAAAAGAAATACGCTTATTAACTAATTATATTAAATCTTTATATATCAACCAAAATAGTAATGTCTACAAAGATGGCTAGGCAGACCTGAACATTTTCCCCTAGATTTTGGATCCTGAGAGAAAATTATAATTCTATATGAATTTGGCTATAAAAGAAATCAAGGATTAAAGTTAAATTAGGAAAAAACTCTAGGAAACTGATTATAGTTATAAGGGAGGTAAAGGATGCTTGATCTTCCTATAACTCATACAACTGGAACAAAAGAGAAGGAAAGAGAATTAAATTATGAGGAGATGTCAACATTATTTTTTCATATGAAATAGACAGAAATAAGAATAATGTATAAAATTATACAGCTACTAAGAAACATAGCTGAATTAAATGTAAACACTTTATCTCATTTTAATCAGTTGTAAAAAGGGATAAAAGAAATGTAAAGGAATCATGAGTTCCTCTGTAAATCTTGGTTTTATAAAGTTATCTTTTGTCTGCTTACATGAGGAAAAAAATGGAGAAATTATTACCTTTTATGCAGGTTTAAAAAACTATATATACAAACATAAAAACAATTAAGACAATACCTTACAATTTAAAGTTTTGCAGTGATGAAAACCAATAACTTACAATAATCACCTTTTAAAACTTGTTCTTAATCAGGAAGAATTAGGCACATGAAAGTCCTCAAAGAAAACAAGTTATAAGGCTTACACTTCTTATATTTTTCTTACAACTTTCAGTGAAGCCAAGCGATTTTATATAATCCCATATCAAAGGTAACATATACTGGAGATCCCTAATTTCTGTTGGAAGGGACCTACACATTCATCATACAAAATTTGAGAGCATACTGTGGTATTTTAGAGAGCCAACACAATTTAAGGGCAGAGCTACTCTTGAAAAAGAATCTCACTTTTAAAAGGATAATTGGATTGTTGATTTAAACATTGTACCGAATGAACACTGGTCTAATTGCCTACTTTGTTGTTACTGCTATATAACACTGAAGACCATATCCTTGTTTTCTACAACCCCCAAATTCTAACAGAAACATGTAAGTAGAGCAATTTATAGATTACAGAGCATTATAATACATGTTATCTCATTTGATCCTCACATATTCTGTGAGGTAAGTTGGGACCAAAAATTGCCTTATCCTCATTTTACACTGAAGACATTGAGACTAAGAGAAGTTAAATAACCTGTGCACTTCACACCATAATTATGGGTCTTTGAATTCCAAGCCCAGTGGAATTTTCATTACACTAGACTATGTAAGTCATCCAAGTATGATAATATATATAAATGTACCTTTGGCATGTCAAAAGTGGTATAAATATCACCAGAGTGAAATTTTGGTATATTAATGTTTTCTAAGTTTTAGCCAATGATCCTCTATTTTATTAAAAAAATGTAAGTCGTTCATTTTATTTCATGGGGCTATAGCCTAAATCAAGATAGTTACAAATTTCAGTTATTTCCAGCTATTATCACAAAGAAATAAATGAGGTAGGTTAAAATGTTGAGAAAATTTTCTAATTTGAAGAGATTCTTAGATTTCTAAATCTGCTTTAAGAAGAAGCAGAAAGAGAAAATTATTACTAATGAAGGTTTGCTTAAGTATTTATTCACCCAACTAATACACAAAGATTTAATTTCACATAAAACCAAAAAGAGCCTAAATACTTCTAAGAATAGCTCTCACCATTAAAAATGAATATAAAGTGTTGGTACAAGTTTGTGTGTATGTGTGTGTGTATATATACTTTATATATATATATTTTGTTTAAATAGCTATTATCACAAAGAAATAAATGAGGTAGGTTAAAATGTTGAGAAAATTTTCTAATTTGAAGAGATTCTTAGATTTCTAAATCTGCTTTAAGAAGAAGCAGAAAGAGAAAATTATTACTAATGAAGGTTTGCTTAAGTATTTATTCACCCAACTAATACACAAAGATTTAATTTCACATAAAACCAAAAAGAGCCTAAATACTTCTAAGAATAGCTCTCACCATTAAAAATGAATATAAAGTGTTGGTACAAGTTTGTGTGTATGTGTGTGTGTATATATACTTTATATATATATACTTTAGTTTAAATAGTAATATGGACTGTTACTATAGGGGAAATATGCTTCATTTGGTATAATTTACTTATTTCTTATTACTTGTTACATGTTATTTTGGTAAAGCAGAGTTAATTTCACTTAGTTTAAATTCAGATCCTTCAATTTTTTTTGAAGTGAGACTCAATGTTAGAGTAAAAGTGAGTTGTATGACATGTTATTCATTTATTAAAAAATTTACTATGTACTAAGCCCTGTGCTAGTTATTGAATTATTAATCAATTATTCTTTGAAGCTATTATTTTGAGCTTAATATTGTCTTGGATTTTTTAACTACTGAATAAATTAAACACAATATTGGTAAAATCAAAGTACTTTTTGAAAACCTTTTGATTATATATTAACATTTGAGAGAGCACTATTATTTTCTCAGCTGTCAATTGAATGAACAAAACACTAAACATTATCATGTGCCAATCACAACACAAATTAAACATATGGTAAGAAAGCTGTCCAGACTTGCTCAAATTGGTTTAAGCTAGTTGAAACTTGAAATGCTGTTCGCTACATATAGTTCTTCAACTGTCTTTGAAAAACAAATTAATTTGGAGCACTAGTTTGATAAATAACATGGCCCAAACTAAATATTGTTATTCAAAACAATGAATTAACAATATTAAATAAATTTTGTGCTGCAAAATTAAGATACTTCCAGTATCTTAATGTCAATAGAAGCCAGGCCTCTCTGGAGTTTAGAATATTTTTCTGAACTGAAATGTCAATATAGCATTTACATATATATCAACAGTTAAATAGAGAAGATATAAATGAATACATAAAATCAAGAAGCAAAAATTAGTATTTTCATAATGTTCAATTAACTGTCTATACTTGGCCACTTGTACAAGAAAACCAATTAACATTTTGGCAATTGATAACATAATGCAGATGGCGATGACTGACAACATCTTTGAGCTCAAACTGGTACCTTCTATTTTAACTTCTTATTTTTGTTTCTGAATGCTTGTGTTGGTCCTCTCATGCTGTCTCAGGAGAGATTCTCAGACAAAAGCCTCATGAATTGTTCATTTATTTATAAATAAGTTGTAAATTTGGCCTTCAGAGAAAAGGTTTACTAAATGTCAGTTATGAGGGAATTTATATTGTCTTGATCACTTACTCCAATTCCAAGGAGAAAGACAAGACAGAGAGGAAAAAATTACATTTTGGGCCAAATGTTCAAATATATCTTGTGCGGAATTAATAACAAAAATATTAACATGTACTTTGAAAAAAACATGATATATAAATTATTACCAGAAAACTGACTTTTGTGTCTGATAAAAGCTACTTTTTCAACACCTAATTCTTTGTTACTTTTTGTTTTTTAAAAAAGAGAGTAAAAGTACACATGAACCAAACACATGTATGATAGTAGCCCTCAAATAAATCTCTTAAATCCTCAATAATCTTAATCCCTTATATTTTAGTTTTCAAAGAGTTTTCATATGATTTTTCATTTGATCCCCTATTTGACAACTTTGTGAGGTAGGTATTTATCTTTTATCTTCATTTACAAACAAGGGAACTAAAGCTCAGAGAAGTTGACTTTTTAAAGGTCAAAAGCCAGCAAATGACAAATTCAGGCCTCTCTGGAGTTTAGAATATTTTCTAAGGTGTCATTCTTGGATTATCTGCGTAAGAATCACCAATGGTATTTTTATAACTACAGATTTTAAATTCTTACCATCTTTGAGTTACAGAATGAGAATTTTGGGGAGTGGGGTCAGCATTTCACATTTTATAATGGACAAATAAAGTGGAAAACAATTTTGTATCAGGTAATGATGTAAAAGTATAATATTGAGTCCACCTACATTTTCGCGTGATATAATGAGACGCCATCAGATCATCAACAGAAGCAAATCAGTTCAAAACAGCCTGAAGCCTGGCTACAGATTAGAATCACCTAGAAAACTTATTTAAAAACCTATCAATTCTCATCTGAATGAGAGGAAGGCTTGAGCATCAGAGGTTTCCCAAATGATTCTTACCTCTAGTCGGGGTTGAGGACATGCTTGTTTAAAATGTTTTTCTATACAATACATCCAGCATTTTCCAAAAATTTTCTTTTTCTTCTGATCAATTTCATGCCTAATACAGTTACCAGTTTTTATTGTAAATTATTTAAATGTTACAAGACAAAATGTCAAAAATTTTGAGTTGATATTTTTAAGATTACAAGATACTTCACAGCAAGACTAATCATGCTTCATTTAATTACAGTGATTTTTCAGATACCCCATATAAACCACCACTTTGGACCAAGGTTATATATATTTCAGCTGTAAACAAGACTGATCCAGAATCTGAATACAAGGGAGGGGGCAAAAGCTGTAGCCTATTTGCTACTGGGCAATGCAAGTACAGACAATCAACTCATTGATAGGAGGGGCTGGATGTCAAGATCTGGTGGCTTTGGCAAGATCACATCTCACTGCAGAAAAATACAACAATGAATACAGAGAAAACATTTTGCCATTTTGTAATTGTGGTTACCACAAAAAAACCTTATAATGAGACAATCAACTCATTGATAGGAGGGGCTGGATGTCAAGATCTGGTGGCTTTGGCAAGATCACATCTCACTGCAGAAAAATACAACAATGAATACAGAGAAAACATTTTGCCATTTTGTAATTGTGGTTACCACAAAAAAAACCTTATAATGTGTGATGCTTATCTTATTACATGTCTCCATGGAACAGATCTGAACATAAAGTTCTCTACGAATTAATATTACTACATGGGAAAAGGCTACAAATTATTTTTTCCAACATGCATATGGATAAGTTATAAAAACACTGCCAGTAAAAGGAATATTTACAAAAGTAATAAAAACAGCTCACTTATAGGGAAAAAATGGCCACTGATATTCCTAATCCTGTATCTCTCTGGATGAAATTTATTTTGATAGAATTTTGAAAGAGCCTTCAATACTCTAATCAGATTCTTCTGTTGATCTTATATTCTATCAGTTAAAATACCCTTGCTGATTTATCAAATTCTCTTACAGTTTAAAACCACAGTTCTTTTTCACTTATGGAAATAAAACTACAAAATCCTACCATTCATCCGAGAAATAAACCTTGCATAGAAAATTCTTTAATTCTGAAATTTTGTTTTATTAACAGAACGACTAGAATGTTGTCTCACAACTAGTTGACATTATATATGAAAGTTCACTACAAAGCAGTCACCACACATTTAGGATTTTTCTAAATATAAAATAGTGGGTTTATAAAAATGCTTACCAGACAAATAATTCTCTCTTCATTACCTAGAAATAAGAATTATTTATGTGACAATATAATTTTAAGACGCCTTGATATTCCAAGTTTGATGCAATATAAAAAGCAAAAATTTACTCTTCCAATGGACACAATCTGCACCTGACTGAACGCATGATAACAGTGAGTTACAGCAGTCAGTCATGCTAAAGGCAAAGAATAAAATCTGCTTTATAAACGGCACAAATTTTCCACCTTAGGACAAATTAAGCACTGGTTCCATCTTCTTCAATAACTCGGTTCATGCTGGTGCCATGTGTGATGTGAGTCATAGGATTATTACTGAGATCCCGGACGCTGCTATGTCGTGACTGTTCATTGAGACGATGAGAACTACTGTGCCTGGAGTGATCTGTTAGTCGTGACATGCTGCCATGAGGTAGTCTCTCTTCCATTCCTCTGTAACTGCAGGGAGTATACCTAGTACAGGAGAGTTTATTTTGAAGCAAGTAATAGAACACACTAGAAAAATAACACTAAATTTTTCATGAAAATGCTGCACTAAATGAAATAATTAGGAAACCAACAAGTGAAAAAGTAACAACCACCTTTGATGATATTCAGCAATTTCATTAACACTGTAGAATTATTCATATGGCTAACCAAAAAAAGGAAGAAAATATACTCATTGGATTCAGAATTAAGGTCCTATTCTTTGCAAAAGGACAGAAGTTAAGGTTAATTTTTCTCATTCAAATAAGTTATGGTTTATGGGGTGAGTTCAAGAAGAGGAGGAAAAACAATGGAGGAAAGATGGCACTGGCCTCAGGAGTGTAGAAAATTGGCTATAATCAGAAGTACAGCAACTCAAATTTTACTAAAAGATTAGGAAGAGGGAGCATATGAAATTAGAGGAGAAATTAGTGTAACCAAAAAGGAAAAGGAAAAAAGATGAATGAACTGGCAAGCAACAATGACAGCATGTGCTGACAGTTTCTTTCCAGACAGCCCAGTTAACAATTAAATTAACTACTGTTAAATGGTGTTAATTATTTTTCCTCGGAGCTGTGAGGATACTATGCTATTTCATAGAAGGTACATCTACTTAAATATACATAACAACATACTAATACACTATAACTTATATTCCTGCTAAAGCAAATTCTCTCAGTACCCTGAACAAAGATGCAGCTTTTGAGAATGCCAACAGCTACACTGCTTATTGTGGACAGTCTTCTCCTCCATTGTTGTACTCATTTTGAAAGCAGCAATGGGGAGCTGTTAAATTTTCTTTTGTTCCAATCCTGACTCACTGAGCCCCTATCAGATATAAGAATACTCACACTCAGATGTACACCTTTTTGTAAAAAGTATTTAATTTAGGATAACAAATCTCAAAGAAAACTAACTGAATATAATTTATAACTTTAACATATTAAATTTTAAGTAATGTTTCTAAAAATAAAAAAGAATATAGCAGGCCATTTCTTTTTAAGATAGTCATCAAAATAACTAATATGCAGCTGAAGACCTATTGGGTGTCAAAGCATTTATTTATCATTCTTTCATAATTATAACAAATCTCATGACTCAATATGAACCATTTATAAAATTTAAAGATTTTTAAAACTATGACTTCACTGATTTTATAAAGAGGAAAAGAGAGATAGAAACATCAATGATGAGAGGATTATCAATTGGCTGCTTCTTGTATACCCCCCCACTGGGTATCAACTCCACAACCCAGGCGTGTGCCCTGACCAGGAATCCAATAGTGACCTGGTTCATGGGTTGATGCTGAAATACTGAACCACATTGTCTAGGCTAAAATTTAAAGATTTTAAAGACTGATTCATGAACTTCTGAGGAGATCTAGTTTGATAGTGTGCTTATTAAATAATGTTTTCATTAGATCAGAGATTTTAAAAATTGAAAAGTCCTTTTAAAATTATAAAAGAAAGCATATCTTTTGTTTCCAGTTTTAAATTTGACTTGCATATTTTGATAAAATAATTAGTGTTAATTGAAAATATTTCAGAATGAGCTTGTTATTCTATTATTATTTTGCAAAACAATTATTGCCCTAAACTGAGTGAAAGATTTTTCCAAATTTGATCCGCCAGCTAATTTGAAGCTCTTTCACCTATCATGACTTCATAAGTATTGTTTAAAATAAATATGGCAAATAAATCAAATGAAAAAAAAATCTGCTTCAGCTCTAGGAATGATATCAGAGTAATTAAAAAACACCAAATCACTACTTAAAAATACGAATTGGATATTTTCTTAAATGAAACCTATGTTTTTTAGTTATGAATATGAATCAAAGAATACATTTTTCATAGAAAAATTACTATATTGAGTTATCATGTCTATTTATTGAAGTGAAATATATGGCTATCCACAAAATTCTATAATATAAACAACCTGCCCATGGATAATTAGAAATCAACTACATAGAAAAATAAATTTAATTATAGTATTTAATCTCAATTGTATATGTGGGACTTACCAAGTTTATTTATACTTTGACAATCATTTAAACCACTGTGACCATCTAACATACACTATGAAAATGTACATTAATCTTAATATAAGCTTAGGCAAAAATAATTAGGATGGTTAATTTGCTGAAAAGATAATATGGTGTAGTCCAAAGTCAAAATGAAAAAAACTTGAAGATGATTTACTCTCTTTGATTCTCTATACAATGAATAATTCAATTCATTGTAATTTCACTAGTATCTCATTATGCATTCCCTGACTTTCCCTTGTTGACACCTACTTTTATCATCTTATTCACTCATTATAACGCAAATAAATATGGCAAATGAATCAAATGGGAAAAATTTTTTTACCTACCTTTACCTACCTACTCATCCACTTGCTTTTCTAACCATCTTCTCATCTAATCACCTATTACTTATTCTTTGAAGTTGATCTACATGTGTAAGGTATTTGCCTCAGTGTATTTATTTTACATAGCACTGAGATCAATTATCCATCAAGGAGTCTGGACTAGAGTATTGTGAAGTGTGTGTGTGTGTGTGTGTGTGTGTGTGTGTGTGTGTGTTTATGTGTGTGTTATTTCATAACCAAGAAAACGTAAGATGATGAGAAAAAGATGGCCGAAAGATAATGTTAACAAGTAAACTTAAAAACTGACTGATGGCCCTAGCTGGTTTGGCTTAGTGGATAAGAGTATTGGCCTGCAGACTGAAGGGTCCCAAGTTCGATTCCAGTCAAGGGCAAATGCCTGGGTTGCGGGCTCGATCCCCAGTAGGGAGCATGCAGGAGGCAGCCGATCAATGATTCTCACTCATCACTGATGTTTCTATCTCTCTCTCCTTCTCCCTTCCTCTCTGAAATCAATAAAAAATATATTTTAAAAAATCTCCACGAAATGGCTTTTGGAATTATGATAATCCCTGTTTAGAGTTTTGGGTTTAATGTGGTCTGAGGTGCTGGGCATGGCAGAGAGGCTTACAATATGAGTGTTCTTGCACCACATTATAGAACAACCTTAGTAGGCCACCTTTATAGTTCTGGGCCCTGAATTTCTGGGAAATGCTCACAGCATTTCTAAAATCATTTGTTATTCAATATACTTGTGTGTATATACTATATATACAAGCTGAGGAAAGACAACTGTATTTAAAATAGGTCATGCCAAAAGAATGATTTAAAAAGCAATTAACTGCCATGGTGATTCCATGACACTATTTTTTATTGATTCCCTTATATGTGTATAGTATAAGCACTTTCTCTGAATCATATGCTGGCTATTCTTCTTATATTATTATTACTGTAAGTATTTTACCAAGGTCTTGTTCTTGATCTGTTCTTTTTAAAATTATGACTTAAGGGCTTCTCACAATTTTAATTACCAACTCCTTATATTAATGATTATAAACTTCCTTATCTAAGCTCCAGATTACAGAGACTGAAATTCCCTATGTTTAATTACCTTCAGAAATTTTCTATTCAGTATGAACTTATCTTTTGTTACCATTCATTCACTCTATTTATCTTCTCTAAGATACTTTCATGGGCTAATCTGATCTTTCCCTTTTCTGAAGTTCCACAACATCAATCATCTATAGCATTCACTGTTTTAATTATATGCTGACTTGCACTATTACTTAATTAGTTCTTATGTATATATCTTATCTTCCTTAAAAGGTCATTTGTTCCTAGAATGCAGAAATTATACTTTAACTTTCTTCTATATATCTCTATATATGGATTACCACATGCATATGCATAAGCACTGAACTAAAATAACTGTCCAATCCTTATTGAAAAGGAGGAGGCTAATAATATCAAATGTCATATAATGCTGATAGCTATTTCATGGAGGATGGTGTTGACAAAATGTATTCTAATTCCCTCCCTCTTATGAGTGTCTTAAAATAGGATCCCTAAATTACTGTAGAGACTTCCCAACGGAGCTTACTGAAAATCTTCTCTCCTAGGCTGCTGCCAAAGTGATTGTTCTCAAATACAAAGCTGAATTTATCACCACAATTGCCCACGCATACATACAATGCAATAGCCATACTCCAGTACCTAACTCCTTCTGTTCTCCTTGCCTCTGCATATATATTCTTTCCCTGTCTTTAATTTCCAAGTGCTTCCCCTGAATCATATTCAGTGTAGCAGTGCAATGTTGTTTGTGAAGTTTTCTCTGACTTTCCATGATAATTTGATGGTTTTCTTCTCTGGGATCCTAAAGCAAAGTATCTTTCCCCTATTACATTCTATTTTTTAAAAAATATATTTTTATTGATTTCAGAGAGGAAGGGAGAGGAAGAAAGAGATAGAAACATCAATGATGAGAGAGACTCATTGATCAGCTGCCACCTGCACGCCCCCTAGTGGGGATTGAGCCCGAAACCTGGGCATATGCCCTTGACCAGAATCGAACCCGGGACACTTCAGTCCGCAGGTCAATGCTCTATCCACTGAGCCAAACCGGTCAGGGCTATAATTTTATTATACACAAGGAAAAAAATAGATAAAAAATAGAAAATATAACATAGTCAAAAAAAGGCTGCTGCTTTTTAAAAATAGAGAGTAGCTGACCCATTAGAAGGCAAAAGATCTTATGAGAAGTCTTAATCTAAAAAGAAAGTATAGAAATCATATCCTACACTAGGACAGAGAAGACTGAGAGAAAGGCTAGGATGAGATTGAAAAGATACTAGACAGTTATAGAAACAGATGTTTTAAAGTTAACATAGAATGCTTTCCATTTTAGGCCTACAAATTTTCATTCTTTCAGTTTCCCAAACTGGAAGTTGTTAAGAACACAACAACAGCACAAACATTTGATACAGTTTTCTCTAGTTGCTATTATTCCATCATCAATTCCTATCTTTTCATTTCTTCTTTCTAAATATTTTTCAGATCAGTTCTTTCTCTCTTCCCACTGCCACTACTTTCCTATTAATCTTCATCACCTCTTAACTGAATTATTGCAAAACTCCTTCGAAGTGTCTAATCATTGGCAAATTTAACAAGAAAATACATCCCCTTCTCTCATTCTCTCTGTGAAACTTCTCTGATCCTGTGCCCTTCTTATTTTTGTAAGTAAAAATTGGCTGGAATATAGTCATTCCCATTTTGACTACATATTATCTATGGCTGCTTTCATGCTACAACAGCATAAATGAATAGTCACAATAGAGATTGGATAACCCACAAAGCCTAAAATATTTACTATGTGGCTCTTTATAGAAAAAGTTTGACAACCTCTGGACTACACAGTCTTCCCTTGGTATCCGCCCAAGATTAGTTCTAGGACCCCCACAGATACTAAAATCCATGGATGCTCATCTTTATATAAAACTAGAGGCCCGGTGCACAGATTTGTGTGCTGGTGGGGTCCCTCGGCCTGGCCTGTGGGGATCGGGCCAAAACTAGCAGTCCAACATCCCCCAAGGGGTCCTGGAGTGCGAGAAGCCGCAGGCCAGGCCGAGGGACCCCACTGGTGCCAGTGCACAGGGCCTCCAACACCCCCTGAGGGGTCCTGGATTGTGAGAGGGCACAGGCCAGGCCGAGGGACCCCACCAGTGCATGAATCGCAGATAGCAGGCCCGGATGGCGGCAGGGCAGGCGGGATGGCACTGTCCCGCCCTGCCTGCAGTATGCAAATTAGCTGCCATCTTGGTTGGTGGTTAATTTGCATATCGTGCTGATTAGCCAATGGGAGGCGTAGCGAAGGTATGGTCAATTACCATGTTTGTCTATTATTAGATAGGACTAGAGGCCCGGTGCATGAAATTCGTGCACGAAGGGGGAGTTCCCTCAGCCCAGCCTGCACCCACTCCAATCGGGAACCCTCGGCAGTCGGACATGCCTCTTACAATCTGGGACCGCTGGCTTCTAACAACTCACCTGCCTGCCTGCCTGATTGCCCCTAACCCCTCTGCCTGCCTGCCTGATTGCCCCTAACCTCTCTGTCTGTTTGCCTGATCACCCCTAACTGCCTCAGCCTGCCTGCCTGCTCGCCCCCAACTGCCCTCCCCCTGCCGTCCTGATCTCGCACCCAACTGCCCTCCCCTGCTAGCCTGGTTGCCCCCAAATGCCCTCCCCTGCCAGCATGATCTAACCCCCAATGGCCCTCCCCTGCTGGCCTGATCTCACCCCTAACTGCCTCTACCTGCCTGATCGCCCCCAACTGCCCTCCTCTACCGGCCTGATCTTGCTCCCAAATGCCCTCCCCTGCAGGCCTGACCTCGCCCCCAATTGCCCTCATCTGCTGGCCAATTTGGTTCTGACTGGTCAGTTTCTATGCCAGTCAGTGTCAAAAGCTCCACCTCCTAGGCAGCCATTGGCTTCTTACAGACACCCAGATTTGGTTCTGATTGGTAAGTTTCTATGCCAGTCACTGTCTCTGGGCCTATCAGCAGGGCCTGATCAGAAAGGCAGGGCTGATCAGCAGCCCCGGTGGAGGCCTGGAGAGAAATAGAGGCGTGGCTGTTGGCCAGGCCGGGAGAGAAAGAGAGGCAAGTTCTGATCAACCTACGGATCAGACCCTGTCTCTCTCTGTAGGCCTTTCTCTGGGCCTGATCCGCAGCCCCCTAGGGCCTAGGCAGTCAGTGCTGGGTCGGGGCGCCCTTAGCAGCCCCAGTCAGTGCTGGGTCACCACGGCAACCCAGCACTGACTTCCGGTCTGGTCAAGCCTTCGGTCCTTATGACCCTGGCTCTTTATTATATAGATGGTATATTTGCATATAGCCTACACACACACCCCTATATATTTTAAATCACCCCTACATACTTTAAATCAGCGGTCGCCAACAGGTGGTCCTTGAGGTCTGGAAAGGGTGGCGACCTGGGAGGCGTAGCGAAGGTATGGTCAATTACCATGTTTGTCTATTATTAGATAGGACTAGAGGCCCGGTGCATGAAATTCGTGCACGAAGGGGGAGTTCCCTCAGCCCAGCCTGCACCCACTCCAATCGGGAACCCTCGGCAGTCGGACATGCCTCTTACAATCTGGGACCGCTGGCTTCTAACAACTCACCTGCCTGCCTGCCTGATTGCCCCTAACCCCTCTGCCTGCCTGCCTGATTGCCCCTAACCTCTCTGTCTGTTTGCCTGATCACCCCTAACTGCCTCAGCCTGCCTGCCTGCTCGCCCCCAACTGCCCTCCCCCTGCCGTCCTGATCTCGCACCCAACTGCCCTCCCCTGCTAGCCTGGTTGCCCCCAAATGCCCTCCCCTGCCAGCATGATCTAACCCCCAATGGCCCTCCCCTGCTGGCCTGATCTCACCCCTAACTGCCTCTACCTGCCTGATCGCCCCCAACTGCCCTCCTCTACCGGCCTGATCTTGCTCCCAAATGCCCTCCCCTGCAGGCCTGACCTCGCCCCCAATTGCCCTCATCTGCTGGCCAATTTGGTTCTGACTGGTCAGTTTCTATGCCAGTCAGTGTCAAAAGCTCCACCTCCTAGGCAGCCATTGGCTTCTACAGACACCGTTCTGATTGGTCAGTTTCTACGCCAGTCAGTGTCTCTGGGCCTATCAGCAGGGCCTGATCAGAAAGGCAGGGCTGATCAGCAGCCCCGGTGGAGGCCTGGAGAGAAATAGAGGCGTGGCTGTTGGCCAGGCCGGGAGAGAAAGAGAGGCAAGTTCTGATCAACCTACGGATCAGACCCTGTCTCTCTCTGTAGGCCTTTCTCTGGGCCTGATCCGCAGCCCCCTAGGGCCTAGGCAGTCAGTGCTGGGTCGGGGCGCCCTTAGCAGCCCCAGTCAGTGCTGGGTCACCACGGCAACCCAGCACTGACTTCCGGTCTGGTCAAGCCTTCGGTCCTTATGACCCTGGCTCTTTATTATATAGATGGTATATTTGCATATAGCCTACACACACACCCCTATATATTTTAAATCACCCCTACATACTTTAAATCAGCGGTCGCCAACAGGTGGTCCTTGAGGTCTGGAAAGGGTGGCGACCGCTGCTTTAAATCATCTCTAGATTACTTATAACATCTAACACAATGTAAATGCAATGTAAATAGTTGTTTTATTGTACTGTTTAGGAAATGACAAGAAGAAAAAGTCTGTACATTTTTAAGACAGACACAACCACCATAAGTCAAACTACATTGTACACATCAGCAACAAAGTAACACTTTTCCCCCAATATTTTCCATATCCACTTGGTTGAATCCCTGAATGCAACACCCATAGATACGAAGGGCCAACTGTACCATCATACTTATATTTTACTTTAATTGTTCACTTACAATAATAACAGAGGTTAAAATCAGGCACTTAACTAAGACAGGCACTGTTCTAAGCAATTGGATATATTATCTCATTATTTTTTTTACAACAGTCCTAAAGGATATTATTACTATTTCCATTTTACAGATGAGGAAAACTGAAGCTTATCATTCCAGATCCCATGTTGTAAACCACAACATAAGTAGTGACTATATTATTATTCTTTAAAACTGTGAGCTTATTAAAAACATAGATTATGCTTATATCATCTTTATATTCCCAGAACAGTAGCTGATATAGTAGGTATTCCACACTGTTTGCTAAATTAATCTTACTAACATAACCACTTTCATCCTGCCTTCTCCCTACTCAATACCCTTTGATGACTCCATATTTTTTACTGCAGCAAGTCTAAGCTTTAAACTCCTCTGACTGGCTTTAAATTGGACCATAATCTGGGACAACTGTTCCTAGCAAAGTTCAAAAAAATTAAAAATGTTCAACTTCTATTTCAGAATTGGCTATTCTTCCTTAAGCTGTGTAACTCTAATTCAGCATATGAAATAAACTAAGCTAGCAATAAAACTCACCTGCCATCACGAGATCTGTGGAGGCTGCCGTGATAGCTGCTCACTTTGCTGTGGACACTCCCTGCTTTGCTTCTCTGATCATCCACCATAGCCAGCTGAGTTGAAGAAGCATGTGTGGATGTTCCTTGAGTGGAAGTTCCTCTTGATTTCCTTATAATAGGAGTATTTGGATCCCTCAGGAGGGACTGAGCAAAATCAGGTTCTTGGAGTACTTGTCGGCTCTCATTCACTATCCTAGACAACAAAATACTAAGTTTAAGATACAGTTAACATTCCTATAGACTAACAAACAATAATTTTGTGACGCACTGATGTTATTCTTTAAATTAATTGCTGTCCACATAATGTCTTTAGAACAGATATAACATTGTTAACAGATGAAAGAGTATATAACAAAAATTCATCTCAATCAGCCCAACTGGCGTGGCTCAGTGGTTGAGCAACGACCTATGAAACAGGAGGTCACGGTTCAATTCTAGGTCAAGGCACATGCCTGGGTTGTGGGCTCGAGCCCCAGTGTGAGGTGTGCAGGAGGCAGCCAATCAATGATTCTCTCTCATCACTGATGTTTCTGTCTCTCTCTCCCTCTCCCTTCCTCTCTGAAATCAAAAAAATGTTCAACTTCTATTTCAGAATTGGCTATTCTTCCTTAAGCTGTGTAACTCTAATTCAGCATATGAAATAAACTAAGCTAGCAATAAAACTCACCTGCCATCACGAGATCTGTGGAGGCTGCCGTGATAGCTGCTCACTTTGCTGTGGACACTCCCTGCTTTGCTTCTCTGATCATCCACCATAGCCAGCTGAGTTGAAGAAGCATGTGTGGATGTTCCTTGAGTGGAAGTTCCTCTTGATTTCCTTATAATAGGAGTATTTGGATCCCTCAGGAGGGACTGAGCAAAATCAGGTTCTTGGAGTACTTGTCGGCTCTCATTCACTATCCTAGACAACAAAATACTAAGTTTAAGATACAGTTAACATTCCTATAGACTAACAAACAATAATTTTGTGACGCACTGATGTTATTCTTTAAATTAATTGCTGTCCACATAATGTCTTTAGAACAGATATAACATTGTTAACAGATGAAAGAGTATATAACAAAAATTCATCTCAATCAGCCCAACTGGCGTGGCTCAGTGGTTGAGCAACGACCTATGAAACAGGAGGTCACGGTTCAATTCTAGGTCAAGGCACATGCCTGGGTTGTGGGCTCGAGCCCCAGTGTGAGGTGTGCAGGAGGCAGCCAATCAATGATTCTCTCTCATCACTGATGTTTCTGTCTCTCTCTCCCTCTCCCTTCCTCTCTGAAATCAATAAAAATATATTTTTAAAAAATTCGTGTCAATCTGTTCTCTAAAGTGATAGACAGAAAGAGATCTGTGCTAGAATAAGAAAATAAAAATTTTAGTTTCAACTCTATCAATAAATATGTGATCTTAGGCAAGTCAGTACCTCCTTCATTTTCCTTCTCTATAAAATGAAGTTATATTAATCATTTCTAAAAAGTCTCTTTCAGCTAAAGAATTTTATGATTTGCAAGGGCACTAAAATATTACAAAGATATTACTATAAAATAGAGGAATTGTTTAACTGCATTGTTTATGGAAGTAATGGAGGCCTCAGATACATTTTTTAACTTATAAGAGCAGTTGTTTTAAGGCTACAACTTAATTTTCTGGTAAAAGCAGTTGTCTAATGCTGGAATAAACGTGAGTGGTCATAATTAGAACAAAAACATGAAAAATTACTTTAAGCAAACATATAATCAAGTCTCAGACATATTAAAGGTTTAAGGAAAAAAATTAAGGAGATAAATTATTGTCAAGAGCAAAAGTTTTTAACTGCTATGAAAGTGTTAAAAGCAAATGTTTATGATGATGAAAAAAGGAGTAATTAAATTAATAAAAGAGCCAATTAAATTGTTGCAAAGATCCGTGTCTCAGTTTATGTAAATCAGTGACTTGAGAGTCAGGATTAAAGTTAAAATAGATAAAAAAATTTTCATTAAAAAAACAACAACCTCAAATATGTAAATATTGGATCATACAGTGAGACAGTGCATATATTCTCTTTTCAAATTACAAAAGCATTGTTGTTGTTTTTAGAACTTGGGTAGAAGGGCTAAAGGAAAACTGACATTTGTTAAGTGCCTGCATTGTGCCAGGTATTTTAAATATATTCTTCTTTGATCCTTTAAAAAATCATTTTATTTAAAATTGATTTTTAGAGAGAAAGAAAGGGAGAGAGAAACATCAATGTGAGAGCAAAACATCAATCAGCTTCCTCCTATATGCCCCTGCCCCAGGGATCGTGACATGAAACCAGGGCATGTACCTTGACCAGGAATCGAAGCTGCAGCAACCTTTTGGTGCACAGGACAATACCACCCAACCAACTGAGCCACAATGGCCAGGACTACCCTTTTTTTCCCTCAATATATTTTTATTGATTTCAGAGAGGAAGGGAGAGGGAGATAGAGACAGAAACATCAATGATGAGAGAGAATCACTGACTGGCTGTCTCCTGCACACCCCTGGGGATGTGCCCTGACTGGGAATCGAACTGTGACCTCCTGGTTCAAAGGTTGATCCTCAACCACTGAGCCACACTGTTTGGGCCAGGGCTATTCTTCTTAATAATGTTTTTGTTATGGAGACGAATGTCCTGAGAGAATATTTCTAAGAGGATATTAGATATCTACTAAGAATAAATATTGTGGTCCCCATTTTATAGATGAAAAACTGAGGTTTGAAGGGATCAATGGACTTTCCACAACAAAACCAGTAGTCAGGGATCAAACTTAAGTTTAAGTGGCTTAGAAACCAATCATCAAGTAATAATAAAACAATGTTTACATAATCCTGAAAACAAAGTGTCAAAAACTAAATAGAAGAAAGAGTAAGTCAAAAATAGCACCGTCCTAGCTTGGAGGACCACAATGACTTTGCTGAGGAGGTATCCATGGTTGCAGAAAACCAAGTAAAAGGATCCTTGGGAACTTTTATCAGTGTGAAAAAGATTCTGGCCCAACCAGGATCTCCCAATAACTAGAATGATTCCTCATAAGGGTAGGTTGGGTAGCTCTATGTGGAATTTCCAATACAACACCATACAGAATTATTTGTCTACTAGAGGCCTGGTGCATGAATTTGTGCATGGGTGGGGTCTAGCCGGCTTGCCCCGATAGAGGCCAACTGGGCCGGGCCAGCCAGGGGGAGGGGACAGGGGAGGTTGGCCAGCCGGCCCCGCCCCCTGGTTGAACTCCAGTCGAACTCCCGGTCGAGGGGATAATTTGCATATTACCCTTTTATTATATAGGATGATCCAAAGGTGACCAGGAATGTTTAATTCAAGTCCCTTCCTCAGCTTTATGTTGTACTGTGATTAAAATATATTTAAAATGTTCAACAAATACACAGATAAATCACAGTAAATCCTACAAAGAAGACTCCATGAAAGCAGGAACTTGTCCTGCTTTGTTTGCTATTGAATCCCTGGCATCGCAAAATAGTTCATGGCACATAGTAAGCATTCAATAAAGACTTCTTAAAGAATGAATTAATGCCTAGAAAATATATTTTTGTAGTTGCTGTTGAATGCATCTTTCCCCTTCTTTCCCTCTCTGCCCTATGAAACTGTATTTAAAGGAGAAATACATGATCTGATATCACTACTAGCAGTCTCAGAATGTAAGAAATATATATATTTTAAATGTGATTATTTTATTTCAATTTAAACTGTTTAAGAGAAACTACTAATCACTAATATTTTAGAAAATACAGATTTTTGTTAATGAGGCACTTTAAAAGTTGCATAGTGAAAGTACATTAACCCTCGAGAAAACCAAGATGGCGGCATAGGTAAACACCGGAAATTGCTGCCTCGCACAACCACTTCAAAAATACAACTAAAAGACAAAACGGACATCATCCAGAACCACAGGAAGGCTGGCTGAGTGGAAATTATACAACTAGAAGGAAAGAGAAAAGCACACTGAGACTCAGAGGTGTGGAAGTAAAGTGCAGAGGTACGGAGGCGCACGTGGAAAGGGCTGGCAACTGAGGACACGGCTGTCTTTTTCAATCGGGAGGGAGACACAAGCTCCCGACTACTCTGAACGCCAGTTCCGGGCGAGTCTCTGGGGACCCAGACTCATACGGGGAGAAACTGGACTGTCTGGCATCGGGAAGAACTCGAGGGCGGCTTTCTCTCAGAGATGCTTGCAGCGATTACCGCGGAACAGTGAGACCTTGGGCCTCTTCGGGCAGGGCTGAGGATCAGCCATAGCTGTTTGCTCCGCCCTGTTGATTCCCTGAGACCCCGCCCCACCCAAGCTGTGCGCAGAGGCTTTTGCATATGAATGCCCTGGCCCTTTGCAATCTAAAAATACCTAACTAACTGCAGCTGGGTCAGAGAAACCCAAAACATCCAAAAGAAGGCCCAAGGCCCCACAGCAGCTTGCATTGCTTCACAGCTGGGCCTCATCTGGGCACCTCCAAACTCCAAACAAAGAAGAGGAATCTGCAGATCTCTCCATAGCTCCTGCTGGGTAGCCTCAGACAGAGGCTAAATTAGCACCTCCTTAGAGATCCAAGAGCCAGTGTACCCAGTGGTCAGAGTGGGACCATCCAGATTACAACTCCTCAGATCCATAAGGGACACACTCAGGGGGCAGACTCAGTGAGCACCAAAGCCCCACTGAAGCAAGTCTTGCCCCAGAAGGGTGTCTTCAGCACAGAAGTTCTCCCACTGCAGACACAGCTGATTCTCACAGCCAATTGGCCTGGAGGTCAATTCCTCCCAGTGACACCTAAAACAATCAAGGCATAACTACAACAAGACTGTGCACAAAGCCCACAAGGGGGTGCACCAAGAGTGTCCACCTCAGGTAACTGGGGAGGCTGAGCCACTGGGCCCTGTAGGACACCTAGCACACAAAACCACTCTACCAACACAGGGAAGCAGACAAAATGCGAAGACAAAGAAACAGGTCACAAATGACAGAAATGGAGGACAGCAAACGACTGGATATAGAGTTCAAAACCACGGTTCTAAGATTTTTCAAGAATTTTATGGAAACCGCCGATAAATGTATTGAGATCCTTAAGAAATCTAGTGAGACCCTCGATGTTGTGATAAAGGACCAACTAGAAATTAAGCATACACGGACTGAAATAAAGAATATTATACAGACTCCCAACAGCAGACCAGAGGATCGCAAGAATCAAGTCAAAGATTTGAAATACGAAGAAGCAAAAAACACCCAACCGGAAAAGCAAAATGAAAAAAGAATCCAAAAATACGAAGATAGTGTAAGGAGCCTCTGGGACAACTTCAAGCGTACCAACATCAGAATTATAGGGGTACCAGAAGAAGAGAGAGGGCAAGATATTGAAAACCTATTTGAAGAAATAATGACAGAAAACTTCCCCTACCTGGTGAAAGAAATAGACTTCCAAGTCCAGGAAGCGCAGAGAACCCCAAACAAAAGGAATCCAAAGAGGACCACACCAAGACACATCATAATTAAAATGCCAAGAGCAAAAGACAAAGAGAGAATCTTAAAAGCAGCAAGAGAAAAAAAGTCAGTTACCTATAAGGGAGTACCCATACGACTGTCAGCTGATTTCTCAACAGAAACCATGCAGGCCAGAAGAGAGTGGCAAGAAATATTCAAAGTGATGAATAGCAAGAACCTACAACCAAGATTACTTTATCCAGCAAAGCTATCATTCAGAATTGAAGGTCAGATAAAGAGCTTCACAGATAAGAAAAAGCTAAAGGAGTTCATCACCACCAAACCAGCATTATATGAAATGCTGAAAGGTATTCTTTAAGAAGAGGAAGAAGAAAAAGGAACTCTTACCATTTGCCACACCATGGATGGAACTTGGGAACTGGGTGGAGGGGAGTTATGGTGGGAAAAAAGAGGAACCAAAATAATAATCTGAACAATAAAGATTTAATTAAAAAAAAAAGAAAGTACATTAACCCATACAAGGCACAACATTTTAAATACAATTTGAATATCTCCGGGGAGCTATGGGGGGAAAAAAGAGGAACAACTGTAAATCTGAACAGTAAAGATTTAATTAAAAAAAAAAAGAAAGTACATTAACCCATACAAGGCACAACATTTTAAATACAATCTTAAGATTATCTCCCAAAACCCACTTTCCATGGAACCTATCCATAAGTTATTCTACTAATTTAGAATTCAGATATGATGTTCATATAAGATTCTGAGTAAAAAGTTTAAAATAATTTGTTCCTTTGTGAATATTGAAGAACCTTGTTTTATTTTATGAACTAAGGGTTCAAAAAAATTAAAAATTAAAGATTCTTTAAATGTGCCCTCAAAAGACTGTTTCGGCAAGTCTTACCGTTACCATAATATTCTAATATGCAGTGTGGCCAACTATGAATTGAATTAAAATACTTTCTTAAACATATTTCATGTTATCTAATGAAATAATTTTTTTCTATATTGGCTTTAATGTGTACTATATCAGAATGGAATAGCATGCTATCTCTTTAAATAATTTATGTTTTACTTGGAAGAACAATTTGAAATGGAAGCCTAATCTAATACCTGTGTGACTTAGGCCAAGGCACTTAACCTCTCTGTGTCTGTTTTCTCATCTGTAACACAAAGATTATAATACATACCAACCCTCACAGGAATATCAAGAGCATAATATAAGAATGTATATAAAAGCATTACTTTGTTTTTAATTTTAAGAAAAATTATAATTTGGATTTTTAAAAATAAAGACTGACCTTCCTTCATATCTCTTAGTAAGGAAGAGAAGTTTTTAGCTTTTTTTAAAAATTGATTTGAGAGGGAGGGAGAGAGAAACATAAATTTATTGTTCTACTTATTTATGCATTCATTGATTGATTCTTATATGTATCCTGACTGGAGATTGAACATGCAACCTTGGTGTACTGGGATGACACCCTACTCAACTGAGCTATCCAGCCAGGGCCACGACTTTAGCTTTTTATATTATTTTAAAAATGTTTTTTATTGATTTTAGAGAGAGAGAAACATCAATTGGCTGCCTCCTGCATGCCCCCTCCCCCACTCCTAACTGGGGAGAGAGCCCATACCTGGGCATGTGTCTTGATCAGAAATCCAACCCCTGACCGGGAATCAAACCAGTGACTTTTTGTTGCACAGGACAATGCTCAACCAACTGAGCAAAACCAAGTTTTTAGTTTTTAATTAAGACATGCTACTATGCCAGTCTTAACTGATGGCAGCTGAAGTTATAATCCAAATTATTTTAATGTAAGCAACACAAAAACATTGACGTGAATGTGAAGTCTGTGAACATTGTGATAATTTACTTCAACTTACTCTTTTTTCCTACGACCATGAAAAAAACTGGCCCATTCAAAGCATGTCTTTTTGCTTCCAACCCAAAATATGGAGGGAATACCAACTATGAGAGCCATCAGGTATTTCATCAGAAAGAGAATCAGGTCTGGACGACTCATTTGAGTGACCTACAAGAAGAGAAAGAAAAATATCTTAAATATATAAAAAGAATTATTTATTAAAGGCCATAATAAAAATATTTAAAATAAACAACAGTAAAGTAATTCTACATTTTGATGTTTTCACTTAAATAGTTTTATAGTTGATTTTCTGGTTATATGGAAAAATATACTTCCGAAAATTTGACAATAAATTTATAAATTTGTAATATATATTTTGAGTCCTATATTTTTATTAGCTCACATTGGCCGTCTTCTAAAGAAAAATAGTATTAATGTCCAAATAAACCCTGAATAGGAATAGAGGTTCAAGTAATACCTATACTGGCCAATTTTACTAGTCTTATCATTTGCCATCACGATATAAAAAAATTATGATCTTTAATATGCTCTTCCATCTACCTACTTCATTCTTTACTCTGCTGGCTCTTTTCAAGCTTCCTCTTTAAACTATGAGTTACTTGTAAGTGTATTTTCTAGTTTCTAATCAGATTAGATTTTCAAAAATTTATTTTTATTGCTGGTTTCAAGTTTAATTACTGTGGTAAGAGAATCTGGTCTATAGATTCTGGTTACCTTAAATTTTGGAGACTTCTTTTATGATTTAGCATACAGTTTTCTAAGTATTCCTTGTGTGGTAAAAAATAATACATATTCTCTATTTGCTGGGTACAAAATTTTCTAAATGTATTAGATCAACTTCATCAGTTGTGTTGTTCAAATTTTCCCTATATTCTTGACTAATTTTCTGTTTACCTACCCATTTTAATACAGGTATGCTAAAGTCTCTCACATAACTGTGAACTCATCAGTTTTCTTTCTAATCTTGTCAGTTTTTATTTTCAAGCCTATGTGAGGTGTTAGGTAAATTCAATAATGCTCTAGCTGCTTATGTTGCTTTATGAGTACTCTTCACTTTACATTGTATTTTATCTGACATTACTACTGTCACATCAGCTTTTCTTCCATGTTCAAATAGCTCTAGCTTTCTGCCTATCTGTCCTAGTTCTGTCCTCTGGAGCTAAGAAGAATAGAGCAACCACTCCGGAAGACCAAGTCGAGTCAATGAGATACCCTGCCAGAAGCAAAACTTAAAAACACAGTGTAAGTACTGGGAACAAAGAGACAACAAGACTATCCAGAAAATCCAAGAGAATCAACTAAAAAAACAAATAGAAACAGTCAAAGGGTTCAGTAACTTAAGTTGGACAAGATTAATATAGAAAAATCAAAATATATCAATAACCAGATAAGAAAAATAATGAAAACCATTTAATTTATAATCTTAACAAAAACTATAAGGCACCTAGGAATAAACCTAATAAGAAAATGATAAAACACTGAAGGACACAGAAAAACTAAAGTAAACAGAGAAATATTCCATATTTCTACATGTAAAGACTCAATGTTTTAAAGATGTCAATTTAATTACCCCCCAAAATAATCCTATAATCTGAAAAGATCAATAGGATTTTTCACAAGATATAAAAAGTTAGGTATATAAGTATTTCAAATAAATGAGGAAAAGATAGATTGTTTAATAAGTGATGTAGGAATGGTTGGCAATTTACCTGGAAACAAAATAATTTAAACACCACCCCAAATAGTAAGGAAAAATAAATTCTAGAAAGTTAAAAAAAAATCATAAATCTATGAAAATCGTAAAGCATTTTTATAATGGAAGGTGTGAAGCCTTTTTAGAAGAATAATATGAAACAAAGAAGTTATAAAAGAAAAAGGCTGATAGTTTTGATTACTAAAAACTTAAAACTTCTATAGAACAAGAAACTATAAATCAAATTAATAGACTAATGACTAACTAGGAATATTAATTGTATTATCTATCAATAAAGTAAACCTAAAAAGAAATCAAATGAATTAATAAAGATAACATAAATAAATTAGAAGACAAAATCAATTAATAAACCCCAAAGCTGGTTATTTGAAAAACATAATAAATAACCATCCTCTAGCCCAGCGGTTCTCAACCTGTGGGTCGCGACCCCTTTGGGGGTCAAACGACCCTTTCACAGGGGTCGCCTAAGACCATCAGAAAACACACATATAATTACATATTGTTTTTGTGATTAATCACTATGCTTTAATTATGTTCAATTTGTAACAATGAAATTGGGGGTCACCACAACATGAGGACTGTATTAAAGGGTCGCGGCATTAGGAAGGTTGAAAACCACTGCAGCCCAATCAAAACAACATAGGGAAGCTCAGTGGTTGAGTGTCAACCTATGATCCAGGAGGTCAGGGTACATGCACGGGTTGTGGGCTCAATCCCCAGCAGGGGGCATCCAAGAGGCAGACCATCAATGATTCTCTGTCGTCATTGATATTTCTATCTCTCCCTTTCTCTCTAAAATCAATAAAAATATATTTAAAAAACAACAACAAAGGAAAGAAAAGAATTCATGTGCATATACACACGCAGAAATGGTAAACAGCTACAAAAGACAAAACTAAAATAATATTAAGAGATTACTTTGCTCAATTGCATGCAAATAAACTTAGAAATGAATGAAAACAAATAATAAGAACATATAAACAAAACTAACCATAGCCCTGGCCAATTTGGCTCAGGGTTAGAGTGCTAGCCCATGTAATGAAGGGTTTTGGGTTCGATTCCTGGTCAAGGGCACATACCTCAGTTACAGGCTCGATCTCCAGCCCCAGTTGGGGTGCGGATAGGAGGCAACCAATTGATGTCTGTCACATTGTTTCTCTATCTCCTCTCTCTCTCTCTCTCTCTCTCTCTCTCTTCCCCCTCCTTCCTTCCCTCCACTCTCTCTAAAAAAAATCAATAGAAAATATATCCTGAGGTGAGAGTAAAAAACAAAAACAAAAAACTGACCTCTGAAGCAAGAATAAAATTGTGCCTAACTCAATAGATTTGATAACACAATAAATCTATAGATGTCCCATTTATGAATTTTTATGCAAACAGAAAATTCAAAGAAAATGTCATAGCCTTGGTCAGGTAGCTCAGTTGGTTATAGTGTTGCCCCAATACACCAGGGTTGCGGGTTCAATCCAGGAGTCAAGGCATCAAGCAATGAATGCATAAATAAGTGTAAAATGAATCAGTGTTTCTCTTTCTCTCTCTCCCCCTTCTTCTCTCTCAAATCAATAAATAAATTTAAAAAGAATATGTCATAACCAAATATAGAAAAGCAAGAATGATTCAATATTAGGAAACTGATTTATACATTCGATACATTATTGGATCAAAGAGAAAACATATACAATCATTTCTATGTATGTCAAAAAGGAATTTGATAAAATTATCCATAATTGTTTTTTAAATTATAATAAATATCCATTTATTAAACATTGTAATGAAATAAAAATAAAAGATATGCCCTTATGTTTAATGGGAACACCAGAAGTTACTAGTCTCATTAAAGTCAGGAATACAAGAGGATCTACTCTTACTACTCTTAATTAACCTTGTATCAATAGTTCTGACTGCAATTAGACAAAAAAGGTATAAAAACTATAAAGGATGAGAAAATGATTATTTACAAATAATGTAATTTTTAAAAATGTATTTTTGTTAATTTCAGAGAGGAAAGGAGAGGGAGGGAGCGATAGAAACATAAATGATGCGAGAGAATCATTGATTGGCTGCCTCCTGCATGCCTCACACTGGGGGTCAAGTCCACAACCTGGGCAATTGCCCTGACTGGGAATCAAACTGTGACCTCCTGGTTCATAGGTCGAGGTCGACGCTCAACTACTGAACCACGTCGGCTGGGCACAGATAACCTAATTTTAAGTGAATAAAGTAAAAACTATTATAAATCAGAAGCAATATGACTAGGTGCAAAATAAAATACTGAAATCACTTTCAGATATACAAATTAACAGTTACTAGGTAAAAGAAAGAAAATTCTTTATTTGCCATTGTTATGGAATGAACTGTGTCCCCCTAAAATTCATATGTTGAAGCCATAACTCCCAGTACCTCAGAATGTGATTTGTTTGGAGATAGAGTCTTTAAAGTGGCAATTAGGCCCAGCTGGTGTTGCTCAGTGGTTGAGCATCGACCTATGAAACCAAGAGGTCATGATTTGATTCCTGGCAGGGCCCATGCCCGGGTTGCAGGCTCAATCTCCAGTGAGGGGTGTGCAGGAAGCAGCCGATCAATGATTCTCTCTCATCATTGATGTTTCTATCTCTCTCTCCCCCCTCCTTTCTTCTCTGAAATCAATAAAAAATAAATTAAAAGGTAATTAGGATTAAATGAAATTTTATAGGTGGGCCTTAAACCAATCGGACTGATGTCCTTACAAGAAGGGGAAATTTGGACACATAGACACAGGGATGAACGCACACAGAAAAAAAAACATGTGAAGAAAGCGTAAAAGGGTCAGCAGCCATACACAAGCCAAGAAGAGAGGCCTCAGAGAAATCAACTGCGCTGGCACCTTGATCTTGTGCTGGCACCTTGATCTTGGAGTTCCAACCTCCATAACTGTGTTTAAGCAACCCAGTCTGTGTATCTTGTTTTGGCAGCCCTAGCAAACTAATACTTCCATGTTAACAACAAAAGGGACAAAACACCAAGGAATAAATTTAATAAGAATAATGAGTGATGTATTAGAAGAAGCTTTAAAATGCTTATAAAACATGTTTGTGGATAACAAGAATCAACATTAAAAAATGCAAATTCTCCTTGATTTAGTCGTTAAATTTAATACAATTCCAATAAAAATGCCAACAGAGTCAACTGGGAATTAAACAAGATGATTCTAAAGTTCATATAGAAAAACAAACATTTCTACAGAAAAATGCTGAAAGAGGAGAGAAATATATCAATAAGCTATAATAAAACTGTGTAATTCTGGGCCATAGAAGTTTTAGTATTTTATGTGACATTTGAAACTATTAAAAAAAGATGAATTAATTATTCAATAAATAAATTCTAGATAGGCATCTAGAAAAAAAAATTTTCCCCTTTCCAAGGTAAAAAAATTTTTTTGAGGCACTTCATACTG